TTCATCCCACACCTAAGGATGCACACCATTTTAGACGGGATACCAGCTATACATTAAAATGTCAGTCTTTTAAAATTTCCTCCAAGTATGTTCATATGTGGTTTTCTCTTTTAAAAAAAAATTCACGTCAGTAAACTTTTTAGGGATATTTTCAAAATTGCACTACTAAAGAATTACCGTAACTTTACATATAATGTAGCACCTTTATAGCTCCCTTTAGATTAATCAAAGGAATGATAATTATCATACATTTAATCTCCCCTTTTACCAGTATTTATAATTTGAGCAAATAGGATGGTACTATACTACCTAAAATAAACTGTTGTGAACAATCAAATGTCTACCACAGCAACAGATCTTAAATGAGAATTATCCCATGTCCATTCCTGCAAAATAGTGCACATTTCACATGACCAGCCTCTTTGAAAGTTAAAAATAAAACTGCAGCTAAGAATGTCAACTTCCTCAATCTTGACTGGATGTTAAAACAAAACAAAACCAACAAAAATAATTATTTTCCAATCCATCTACAAGCAGAAATGCCAGAAAATAAGTCCATATATACCACTCTGTTCATACAATTGAAATTTCCTTTCCTAAGTCATGACATCTTTTTGTTCTGTTTTTGTCTTTTTAAACACAGGACTTCAAAACATAAATGAAAAAGGTAACAACTGCTCAAGATGGGAAGGAACAAGAAGGAAAATGGAATGTTCTCTTAGTGAAGAGGCAAATGGTGTAAAACTGTGCAGATTGAAAGTGTTATGCAATGGAAAAGAATAATGGGAACAACATAATGCTAAGTATCATCCCGGTGTCCTGTGTCCGGAGAAAAGTTGCTGTATTAAATGCTAACTCAACCCATGTGATGTATTTCTCCTTGTGATTATGTAAGCCGCATTCTAACTAGAAAAATAGTACATGTCCTTCCACCTGTCCCCGCAGAAATACAGCAGGAAAACGAGGCCTGATGATCAACCACCAAGAATCCTGTCTCTTAATCCAAGTCTCCTTCTAAATATTAGCTCTTTACCGCGTGCTCCTAAGCAATAATGGAAAGGAAATGGCTGGCTATTTTGGCCTGGTCGGCATGGCTCAGTGGTTGAGCATCAACCTATGAACCAGGAGGTTCCATTCCCGGTCAGGGCACATGCCCAGGTTGTGTGTTCGATCCCCAATGTGAGGTGTGCAGGAGGAGGCAGCCAATCGATGATTCTCTTTCATCATTGATGTTTTTTTTCCCTCTCTCTCCCTCTCCCTTCCTCTCTGAAGTCAATAAAAATATAAACTAGTATATTAAACAACAACAACAACAACAACAGTACCTATTTTGCACGCATATGAAGAAGCCAAGACAGATATATTTGGGAGCCACTTTAGTTTCTTACTCCTTTTCAGTCCAATAGTAGCAGAATATAAAATACTTGTACCTGCTTAATCCACAAATTCATGGACTAAAAGGTGGACAACAGCCTTGGGGAAGGGAAGCTTCAAGGACTAACTTATGTAACAGGGAGCTGGGCACACAAAGAAAAGGGCACAGAAAAAATAAAAAAAGCCATGGGTAAGAAATGCTGAAGATGGAACTGAAACGAGGCAAAATGAATGTTCTCAAGATGAAAATTATTGTCTTTAGAAAATTCACCCCCCCACCCCCCATATAAACAGAATTTAAATAACTACTCCTAAGGAGAATATTCTAAGGAATGTCATGATTTGGAGTGAGGTCACTTAACAAGGCAGAATAAAACCTTTATGGTGCTGTAGCAGCTGTTTTCTTTTGGTAGATTATACTTAAAATATTTACCTGATGCATATACTTCCTGTTATCTCATGATTACTTTCCCACTCTTTGAGTTTTATTAGAGCCTGCAACATTCATTTTAGTGCAAAATAAAGGCACTGCATGAAGATGGACACTCATGTGGGGGATATAATTAATTAAAGGCCAGAAATTAGGTGTTAATGGTGTAAGGCATTTGAGGGGCCCAAGTAATATATTTTCAGACTAGTGTCCCAGTGCACGAATTCATGCACATTGAAAGGAAATTAATTAGAAGAAATATTTTAATATCGCTATTCGCCCTTTCTCTATAATAGAAGTGTCAACCAAATTCACGATAGACA